TGATGGTGAAATCTTGAAAAGCACAGGGGACAGGCGAATTTTGCAGATCCCTGTACCCTGTGCTTTTCATCGGGCCGGAGTTTTGGCAGAGTTTCGCATTTTGAGGTTTCACCATTTCAGCATAGTTTCAGCAGGATTTTTGATAAGATTTAATATAATTTTGCCATGGTTTCAGTAATTACTAAGGAGGTTTTGCCCACAACCTTAATTGTCACAATACATTTATCATTGTAAACATAAATACATTTGTCAACATTACTTCATATCTATCATCATTACAATATATTATTCATATTTGAAGGGTCATAAAAAAGAACATCATTATGATTTATTCTATGAACTTAATGTTAATTCATAAGTTTTGCTGTAATAATTATTTGTAAATATGACATAAGAAAAGTCAACCTCCTTATGATTTCATAAACATTTCAAAATGTATATAAAGACCATATTTTACTTGACCAACTGATTTTAAATTATTGAAAAAAAGAATTGATTTTAACTCATAACAACAATCCACACTAGATAACTTTTTTTATTTATCATATAAAATGAACATACTCTGCATCCTTTTGCTTAATTTTCTTTATAACAGTCTCTATAATGGCCTTTTTTTTGCCAAATCAGATGGGCCATTATAGAGAGAGTGAACTGTATGCACTTGTTTTTATCAAATTTTTTTTAAAAAAAAATGATGGTGGTTGTTCATCTTGTCATTCTAGTTATATTATTCAGACTGACTGCATTTGACTAGCATGTCCTCTTCACAAGAATCATCATCCTCTTCTTCTACAACTAATGATGTAAATAAATTACAGTGTGTAACAAAAATTATTCCTGTTGTTTAAATGCATGTTTGGTGATCACAATCATCATATTCATGAATATTCATTAAGGGGGTTACACTTATCAAAATCAAGTGATTGACACATAATTTTAAGGGATTTTTGTATTTTTGATAAGTGTAACCTCCTTAATGAATATTCATGAATATGATGATTGTGATCACTATGCATGTTTTGTACTCAAATTAAATCCAATTCTTGTCGTGTAACTTTCAAAACAAACAAGAATAATAAATTTATCTTTTTAGATCATCTGTTTTGTTTATTATTTTTCAATTGTTGTAAAAATTGACTTTAAAATGTCCACATCTGACCAAGAAAGACAACATCAGACTCTATTAGATTTCTGGAACCAGGGTGTGAGATCTGCTAAAGAACTTCACACTCTGACAAATATTCCCCTTTCTACTATCTATTTTAACATCGAAAAAATTAAAAAGACAGGTGATATTTTGCACAAAGGTGGTAATGGACAACCAAAGAAGATTACTGCGGATGCTGCATGTTTAATTGGACAAACTATTAGAAGAGATACTTCAGTTTCTGTAAGATCATTGGTGAACAAAGTAGCAACAAAAGGAATAGAAGTATCTCACATGACTATCTCAAGACATTTATCAAACCATGGTTATAAAAAAAGCCTTCCACAAGCCACCCCTATGCTAACAACAGTTCACAAGGAGAAAAGAGTTGAATGGGCAAGGAAACACTTGAATGATGACTGGTCACAGACATTATTCACTGATAAAACAGCCTTTCAACTGTTTAGGAATACAGTGGAACATTGGCATAAAGGTGTGAAGCCAGTTTATAGCATGCCAAAAGACAGAACAAAAATTTTAGCATGGGGCGGATTTTGTGTAAATGGACGAACAAGTCTTTTTTGCTTTAGTCAAATAATGGATGCAAATTTTTATGTAGATATACTTAGAAATCACATTCCAGAGGTTAATGAGATGCTAGGGGATGTTTGGCAATTTCAACAGGACAATGATCCTAAACATACTAGTAGAATCACCTGAGCATTTCTCAACAAAAATGTTCCTGAATTGATGGACTGGCCATCAAACAGTCCTGACCTTAACCCCATTGAAAACCTCTGGAGTATTGTTAAACGAAATGTTGAAAGAAGGGTGCCAAAAAATTGTGATGAATTAAAACATTTTATGAAGGAGGAATGGGATAATATTCCAAATCATGTTTTAATTAATTTAATCAACTCAATGAAAAATAAGCTATTGCCCATTCATTCCGGTTTTGTTGTTATTCTACAATATTCAATTTATTTTTGTTACACACTGTATATTCTTTTCAAATGTGAAAATTTAATTGATTTGTTTATATTTTAAAACTAATATTGTCAAATTTTCAGGACCAAATATCAAGACTAGAGGATAATACAATATTGGAATTGAGCAGAATCTATAATAACAATGAAACAATAATCAGAGATTTATTGAAAGAAAATAATATTATATATGACTTAAATCAACATCATAAAAAAATCATTGAGTTAATAAAAGATTTTACTTCAGCAGAATTAGTGAGTTATTAACAAATTTTCTGTTCATTAACTTGTTTATTTTGTGTTGTTTGTTAACCTATGTGTTTTGTTTTTAAAGAATGAAGAAGTGCCAGATCAAGAATCACATGAAGAAGTGCCAAATATAGAGTTTCACACAAAGAAATCCCAAATATAGAGCCAGATCAAGAACTAAGGCCAGAATCACAGGTACTTCAAGGTACATAATTGAGGTCTCATTCTTTTTAAAAACTTATATATATATTTCTTCTATTATTGATAATAAATCAATCATGATAAAGGGAAAGAGTAATGGTAGGATACAAATGCCACAATAAAATCAACTGAGACAATATTCAAGGGATAAGTAAGCTGTCCTGTAAACGTTCAAATAATTATCACTTAATTATTTAAACAATATTAATGAACAGGTAATTTAATTGTTGTTAAATTAA